GATATCGGAATTTTCATCACCAAGAAAAACCATTAAAAAACCAAAAACAGTTAATGATATAGATGAAGCTGACAAAGGTATTTTAAAAAGAATTATTCTGTTCATGTTAATCTCGGAAAATATTGTTCCAACATTAAAAACAATTCTGACTAAATTTAGAGAAGCTACAGGGTACAAAGGAAGCTATGAAAGTTTAAGAAAAATACTAAAGTCGCTAGGATTTCGTTGGCGGAAAACAAAAACAAACAGAAAAATATTAATGGAAAGGTTTGATATTCAAAAGCTACGTTTAGACTATCTGATTCGTTTAAAAAGTTATCGAGCAGAGGGCCGTCCAATTATCTACTTAGATGAAACATACATTCATGCCTCCCACACACACACACCAGAAAGCTTGGAGTAATAATTCAAATGAGAGATTAAAGAAACCAATTAATAAAGGTGATAGACTAATAATTGTCCATGCAGGAGGTGAAATGGGCTTTATTCCGAATGCCCGGTTAATTTTCAAATCTGGAACCAAAAGTGGAGACTACCACGATGAAATGAATTTTAATAATTTTTCTAAATGGTTGAAAGAAAAGCTGTTTCCGAACCTCCCTCCAAGAAGCGTCATTATTGTTGATAATGCTCCTTACCATAATGTCCAGGTAAATAAAGCACCAACGTCAACTTCTAAAAAAGCTGACATGCAGGATTGGTTAAGGAATCATAATATTGCTTACGAAGAGGATATGCTCAAAACGCAATTATACAGTTTAGTGCTATTACATAAGTCACGATTTACGAGGTATGCAATTGAAGAAATGATAAATGAACATGGTTTTAGTTGTTTGCGTTTGCCACCGTATCATCCCGATCTTAATCCGATCGAATTAGTGTGGGCATCATTGAAACAATATGTAGCTAGTAACAACACTACATTTAAGAGGCAAGACGTACAACTGTTGTGTGAAGACTTTTTTGATACGTTTTCTAAAGAGGAGTGGCAATCTCGTTGTAATAATGCTAAAATGTGGGAATCTAAATTTTATGACAGAGAAGTTACTTTGGATGAGGCAACTGATAGATTTATAATTAACTTAAACAGTGACAGTGAGACTGATTTTGAATCTGATATGGAAACTGAAGAAAGTTTTTCGGAAGACCATTAAAATTATATCTGTACCTAAGATCAAAAAAGTATTATCTATTTTTACAACGAAGATGTACAAGAATCAAATTTTATTTTTTTATTATTAGATAGCTATTTTTGTTTCTGAGTTGTGTTCATTTACAGGCTCAATTTTTTTCCGTTTCTCCTTTTTGATTTTATATGGGGTTTCAAGTTGTTTTTGACTTATTTCGACGTAAATCACAACAACACACTTTTTTAATAAAGCAAACAAGTGTTAAGAGGTATATGTACGTGTAAACTACAATTACAAAAAATTGATATGAAACCCATGAAACCACCAACAAAAATGTAAAGCTAGCTTCCGTACTAGAACATGGTGTCATTCGTCGAGATAATTTATCGTTTTGTTTAATAGATCAAGAAATGTAAATATTCCCCTGTTATTTTTTATAAAATTATAAGAGAAATAAATTTTTTTCTAAATAGTATAGTTTATTATTTTGTAGAAAAACAAAATTTCGAAAATTTTAGTAATGTTTCAGAAACAACCGTTATTAATAATAGGTACCATTTTCCTTAATAAGGTAGAAATAAAATATAAACTATTTCCACGATTTACAGAGGCCTACAAAAAAATTATAGGTATTTTCCGCTATCCTATAAAATTTATATTTTCTGACTCAATTTCAAAAGGTTGAAGGAATTCCAAAACACCTTTTATGGCATAATAATTATTTTCAATTCTACATACTATCTTTAGCTGCTTTTAAAAACGTTCTAAGAAAGTCCAATCAGACCAATTTAATCCCTAAACTATTCCACACTTTTAAAATTTAATTACCTAAAAATATTAAAAACTATTTAAAATAACTTGTTTAGCAGACTGTACAATAGCTATCTTAGTCAAACGTAGCGCGTTCTCTGTTTGGGCGTCGAACACCTCTAGAAATTTGATGAACTGTAGTAAAGATGAATAACTACTTGCTGATTAAACGATAGGCTGCTGTTCACTAATCTGTCAAACATACGAGTAACTTTACTCAGAGGTGAAAAGATGGGCCCTTAATCATGCGAATCATTTATCTAAATTATTAGTTATTGTCACATTACACTGCATAAATGGTAAACATAAATACGAACCCTTTCAAACCGTATGCCATTGAGAATGGAGTATCTACCCCTCTCCCCTCACGTCTAATAAAGTGATGACCCCGCTTATACATAACAAAATCCATTGAATGATATCTCTAAAGTCTATTCAGATTTCATTTACGCCGCGTCAAAACAATTTCTCCCATCCAGCAACAGCTCACGTGACATTTTTTTGCGCTTCTATTGGTTAATCGGTCGTTAGTCATTTAGACGACACGCAAATATTTTTTGTCAGAGTCGAATTCAATTCAATTTGGATAATTATAAACGGCGTTTTGGTAGCATTCACCGTGTTGGTTAGTTTGGACATTTTGTATGTTTGATTGATTATAATTCATTATATTATAGTTTAGATATACATATATTGTGTTATTTATTTTTTTTTGTTTTTGTGGTTGTTGTTAGTTTGAACATGTTTTACTCTATTTTATGGACATTTAATTGACTATATTTTGTAATTGCTGCGTGGCACTATGTCCTCCACAGATACAGCAGATGAAGTCCAGAAAAATGTTTTTACTCCTTCTAAAAAGCGACTGAAAAAGGGACATTTGGTCATCCGTACTAAAGAAATGGTTCTTAATATTTATAAGCATTAAATTTTATAGAACCCTGATATGTTGGTACATGATGTTAAAAGGAGAGTTGCTGATAAAACAGGGATGTGCGCTAAAACCGTTTTTAATATTATGAAGGAGTATAGGCCGATTCATAAATTTTCTGAACCAAAAAGAAAGCTACGTTATAAACAAATTAGTGGCTCTGTGGATGATTTTGATAAAAATGCAATAAGGCGCAAAGTACATCAATTCTTCTTTAGAAATTAACTTCCAACAATTGATAAGGTTTTATAAGAAGTCAACGATGATTATTTGTCTACTTTTAAGCGAGCTACATTTTACAAGCTTTTCAAAACCCTTAATTTTAAATTTAAAACACGAGGAAAAAATAGTTTGCTTTTAGACAAAAATTAAATTGTTTCGTCCTACGCCACAAAAAATAAAACGGTACAGAGAAGAAAAGCAAAAAATATATTATCTTGATGAGACTTGGATTAACGCAGGCCACACCAAATCAAAAGTATGTTTCGATATGTCGGTTTTTTCATCCAGACAAGCCTTTTTGGATGAACTTTTAACTGGTTTTAAAAACCCATCAGGTATGTGCGTAAAAACAGCTCATTATATGCCATATTGAAAGTGAAGAAGGCTTTGTCTCTAATGCACTTTATGTATTTGAGTTGAAAAATCCGGTGACTACCATGAAGAAATGTGTGGAGAATCGTTCAAAGCGTGGTTTTCAAACACCCTACCAAAATTAGAAGATAACTGCATTATTATTCGAGAAAGCTGGAAAAAATATCTACGACGTCTAAAAAAGGTGATATTTAAAAATGGCTATAAGGGAAAAAAATTGAATTCGACTACCAAATGCTTAAATTCCAACTTCTAAAACTTGGTAAGCAACATAAACATTACGATAGGTATGTAATAGATGAAATGGCTAAGCAGCAAAACAACATAATACTTCACATGTCTCCGTATCATTGTGAACTTAACCCTATTGAATTAATGTAGGTTGACGTTAAACAATACGTAGCAGATAAAAACTCCACATTTAAATCTGGAGACATTAAAATTCTTTTTGAAGAAGTAATATTATTAATTTCTCCAGAAAAATGGAAAAAGTGTATATGTTCGCCAAAAAGTTAAAGTAAAAATGTGGGAGTTGGATAATATTATAGAGGTTCAGATAGAACCACTTGTAATTTTGATTAATGAAGATAACCTTTCAAGTTTAACTAATTTATCCGATTCAGAATAGTGCTAAGTCAAGTAAGGAAGATTGCTATAATACAGGGTACAAGTTGTCTAATCTAAATACTAGTAGAACAAGAACAATAAAGAACAAAAGTGATCAAAAATACAAAAGGTTTCTTTTTAAGATGCACAATTTTAAATCAAATACCAAATACCTCTTATATTTAAAGTTTTTTTAATGCTTTTAGTAGATATATATTAGCTACTAAAGAATTTGCAATTATTTGGACACCCTGTACAATATAATTTTATAATATGATTGTTTTAATGCTCTGTATCACAGTAGACATATGTAATGAACTAAATATAATGCAACCATCTCTTTTAAAGTCAAATACATTTATTAATTTGTATTGCAGGTTAACGCAGTTTATGTCGCTCACCTATCTTCGTCCAGAAATGTCACTAAAGTCTGGGAGACCGTGTATGGCATTTATTTTATAGTTTTACTTTACAAAATATGTTTTTATCGTAATAAAAAAATAATTTCACAATTACACTCTTTTATTTTACATTTTTGCAAGACGGAAGAGTAAAATACGGCCCTGCTCAATTTTAGCGTCCACCTGCTTCTGTTTACATCAGGCGTAAATTAAATTTGAATAGACTTTAGTCTTATATGCTCTAAGTTCTCACGCCCAAATTTTATTAGTCTATAACCCTGTTGAAAATATACGAGCGAGGGGGTACTTTTGAGTAGTACTGTTTGTTTTTTCAGGAAGTGAACTGTTGTAAGGTCTAATTAAATAACCTTAACAGGTATAATCCAACATCGAATTAAAGATTGGACAAATATTGAATGTTGAGTGTATTTTAAATTAAAGAAATACTTTTTACTTGTAGTCTGTTATATATTGTACTTTTGTTTTACCTTTTACAATTATACTTTAAATAGTGTTTAGTGTTAATACCTTTAAAAATTGCATATTATTCAAAACCTCACTCAGAATTTCCTTTTGTGCTGTAGGACGTAGATCTAGTGTTAAATAAATAATGGATTTAATTTTGGATTTATTGTAAAATACTAACGTGCACGTTTTTTCTGAAGAATCACATCTCAAAAACCTAAAATTAAAGGTTAATTATTAGTATTTTGCATATATTTTATATTTAGTCAGTGGCATATATTTTTATTCTATAATATGTTCATATCTTTTTCAAATTGGAATTTGTTGTGTTTTAATACATTTCACTGTATATACCGGGTATTGCATAGATTTCTGGCTGGTAATAGGAAATGATACGTTTAAAAAATAAACCTATACGACATGAAAAATTTTTTTTCAAATCAACCCTTGTATAAATTTAATGTTTTCTCTTTATATATTTGACCATTTTTGGCATTTTGCACTTTCGCATTTTGGAGGTTTCTTTTCTAAAAAATAGACTTTTAGCCTCATCTAGTAAATCCACATTTTTATGCAAAATTTCTAAACTTTTTAGGAAAGTTTTTTCAATTTTCAGTGATAAGATGTCTTGGCTTTTGGAGATTTTAGCAGATTAAGTAAATTGTTCCATGTCGGGTGTTTTTGTTGATTTTTATATTTTTTTTTTTTGGAAATATTCGCGATTGCATTTTGTGCAAAAAACTGAAATTTTTTGTGGTCGTTCTTGGAGATTTTTTTCGCAAAATATGTCAGTTGGCAACACTTAGTTACTAACCAACTGTCAGGTGGAATTAGGCATTCCAACGACCTGTCCAAATGGCTACCAGTGGGTAATGACAGTTTAGATATGGCAACCCTGTTGTCATGTTGTCATTAACAGGGTCAATGATACATATATAGTTATATAGATTGCTCAAAGCTGGTCGTTTACGAGCGGCCATATTGCCTGGCAAATATTTATTAATTTGAATCGGTTTAGCAAAAATGTGTTTTAAAACCAATTTTTATCCTTTAGATATTTAAAAAAAATAATTTCTTACATTTTTACTTCAAGGCATAAGCTTATGTTTATTTTGAAAAATATGGATGATCAATCTATGTAACTATCTATTTCATTGACCTTGTCAAATCACCAGGCCTACAGGGTTGCCATAATTTTGCCATATCATAACCCGTCAGAACCCACTGGTAGACATTCAGTTTGGAATGCCTAATTAATCAGGCATTCCAAACAAATGAAACGCGGTGATAAGGCTTGGTATGTCTAAAGGGTTGCGACATACGATGTAGTCTATTTACAATACGTGAAATCATAAATAATGAATTAAATTTAAATATTTTATGTCGAACACAATAAAAATATTATTTTAATAAAATCGCTTATACGTTTTCTCTAAATTGGCAGGCTTGGGACTACTATTTCAAATAAAAATAGCGTCCAAGATGGAAGGCTATCTCGACATTCCCTTAGATTTACGAGCCTTTCCCACTGGCAATTACAATTATTAGTGAATGTCAACTGAAATGTCACAAAAAATGTCACCAAAAATCGTTTAAGAACGAGCTTCATTCACATAGTTTGATTTTCTTTTACTATACGGAGAATGGTCGCACTGCGCAGCTTTCTGAGTGCCTTTTAAAAGGAGATAGAAAACTCCGCCATTTTGAACCCTTATTACGTGTTGCCTACATCTTGGCGCAATATTTTTAATAGGTGCGTTTTAATCATCCGCTTCTGCTTCGGAATTGTCGGTTTTCTTGTTTTAATCTGACAGGTTAACGACTAAACCGACAATTCCGGAAGCAGAAGCGGATGATTAAAACGCACCTGATATTTTGCTTGCTGCTGTCAGTGTCAGTGAATATTATTTTTGAAGTCACAGTTTATTGCTAAAGAATCAGTTAGCTCACTCGGACCAGTTGAAAGTTCCAAAATAACATCCACTCCAGGGATACAAATTCAGGATACGCAGAAGACTGCTGTTTAATTATAGGCGGTTGTCATATATTGTATTATCCGAGTTGCACAGTGTATAAACTGAAACATTGAGATCAAAAGTGCCGACGCAGAGTGAGCGATCTGATTCTTTAGCTGTAAACTGTGTCACAGGGTTCAAAATGGCCGCGCCCTATGTTGGGCGTGTCGGACCTCTCTCTTGCCTCGTATAGTAATCAAAGTATGTGGCTTCATTAGAGAGTTATTGCAAGTTCACTTAAGGTCAGTCACTATTAGTGCCGCTCTTATTTTGACATCTGAGCATGCGCAGATCACTAACTTTAATAAAGATTGTGCCTGTCCTTAATAGAGAGATATTGCAAATTTCTATAAAGCCAGCCACTAATAGTGACATCGTAATTAGAGTCAAATAAATTCTATAATAGTACCTAATATTAAAGAGGCATTAGAAATTATAATTTTGAAAGGTTTAAAAGACGAGCGCATCCGAAAGCTATAAAGTCGCCACTACCTGCTGCCCTTAAACATCCACAATTAAGGACATGCACAATCCTTAATAAAGTCAGTTTTAGAACATAAAACATCTGCACATGCTTAGATGTCAAAATAAGAGCGGCACTAATAGTGACTGACCATAAGTGAACTTGCAATAACTCTCTTATTAAGGACAGGCACAATCTTTATTAAAGTTAGTGATCTACGTATGCTCAGGTGTCAAAATAAGAGCGGCACTAATAGTGACTGACCTTAAGTGAACTTGCAATAACTCCCTATTCTTTAACAATTTTGCGTGGGAGAATATGACATTCTTGCACCAAAATCCTAAAACATTATTTCAATATTTGCATTTATTATGAGACCACAAAAAAAGTTGGATATTTCAAGAAAAAATAAAATAAGAAGTATAAATACAAAAGTAGTATTGTTTAGAAAGGAATATTTTCTTTTTCAACTAAAAACGTAGTTTTTTTCAACGCCTAGCACTGACGTAGGTGTATTGTTGTTGTTCTACGTGTTTTCGGATTCTACAATATTCTTATCGGCAGATCCGCTATAAGTAGCGTTCCATTTAAAATCCCCACCTTGTATATATGGTAAATTTATTGATTTATTAACTATTATAAATTTATTAGTCTTAAAAATCTGAATTTTGATTTAAAAATATTTCATATTGCTAATTTGTGAAACTGTCCAAATTAACTCCAAAATTGGATTCGTAAATTGGTTTATACTAAATCATGATTTACTTATTCCTGAAAAAAATAAATAGTGTTTTTTAAGTTTTTTACCTACGTTTCACTCAACTGCATGCTTTTATTCCAAATACAATAGGTTTTAAAGTTTAAACCATTATAAAGTTTATTGCACACCATACAGGTGTTGTATTTCACGATTTATTTTTTTTTATATTTAACTTACACAAAATTAGTATTTACTGCAAATTATTAATCTTTTTCGCACAAAAATAGAGTTGCGTGTAACAGCATCATTGCCAGACGAGATCTAGGATTACAGTCTGTCTTCTTCCAATCCGCATAAAATATGTTCTTTCTCTTTTCCAATAATTGGGACCAAACAAATGATACGTTATGAATGAAATGCTTCATCTGTTGTTTCTTTTATCTAAGATTTAAACGCTATTTAATTTCTAATAAGTCTTCAATTTGAGCATCCGCAATACCATTTAGTAAATGTTGCTGTGGTACTGATAACGTATCTACTCTTGATCAGAAATATTCTCAGTTACAACCATGTTCTTAATAGAAATTGTAAATTGAAAAAAAAATATATAAATATCACATTTGACGTGGTGATGCTTTGTTAGATTGTTAAAAAGCAAATGATAATGGTTTATGATCCGTATAAATAATGCAATCACCTACTTACATATCGAAATTTTTAACGCCTTCGTATGCTGCTAATAGTTCTCTGTCATATGTGCTAAACTGTTTTTGGGCATTATTTAGTTTTTTGAGAAAAAACCTAAGAGTTCTAAAACGCCATTCTTTACTTGGATAACGCTGCACCAATCGAAAGGTCTGATGCAACTACCATAAGCACTAATACTATTATTTTTTATTTTTTTTGTGTAGCTAATTAGTGTGAAATGAATGAATGCATATAAGAGTATAGTATTCAAACAATTTAGATATAAATGAAAACAACAAACTAATAAAAACAGTAATAATTCATAAACAAGCACCTAAAATCTAATTGTGCTTGCAAGTCCTTTAGTTATTGCAAGCCTTATAAGTTCTTGCAAGCTCTTTTCAATTACCAAGCACTTTTTATAATGGGCTTCAATTACCAATTATCGAGCACTGTATTTTAAAAGTGCTTGCAAGCACTTTTTCAAGCACTTTTGAGGCAATTACTACCAAGTTGTTTGCGGTTCTTTGCATCAGCGAACTATTACATGGACATTAGGAGGGGTTTATTTGTATCATTTCCCTATTCATCAGTCTTCCGATGCACATTGAAGACATTAGTTCTGCTTTGAATAAACCAGATATTTTTGACAAATGGATATTTCTTAAAAAAAAATTTGAAGAGCCAAATGCAGTGAGTTAATGAAAACTGTCATCCCACGATACAAAAAAATTGTATTATGCTGCCAATCAGCTTATCATCCAAGATTACCCAGATGCGAAACCCCCCAAAATAGCAAAGGATTTCAAAATAAGATTTCTATGACCTTGAACTGAATGGGAATGGCAAAGGTGTTGCCAATTTTAATTATTTTCAATAATTCTTACTAAATAATTATTTTCATAAGTCTAGTTGTTCTATATATCAACCTCCCTGGGATGGGGAGAGAAGTAGGGGGGGGGGAGAAGTGGGGCAGTTTGAACTACGGCCCCGCTAATAGTTTTTTCTATCCCTTACCATTTAGATGTGACAGAGGAAGAGGGAATGGAAGTTGGAGGAGTGGGGGAAAAGTAATTTTTTATCTTTTCACGATCCTCTATCCATCCATGCAATATAGTCCATGTTGGTTCTAAATTAAAGGATACTCATGTTCGCTATTGGCTAATTTTATTAGTCAATCATAATTCATAGTTGTTGGATTTCATATATCAAAGGTTTGGAAAAAAAATATATTGATAACACTTAAGATTGTTAATAGCAAAAACAAAAATTTTAAAAATAAAATCGGTTTACAAACAGAATAGAAAATGGTACTGAACTGTTTTGTCTTTGCCTATTTATATATAAATAATAGTAGAAAAATGTCTTATTTTTGTGCCCACCAAATCAAAGTATTTCCATTTTTGATATCTCAATTTAATGTAAATTTTAATGTCACCTTTAATTTTATTTATCATATCAGTATTAATCTTTTTCCTATGAGGTGATGATTTACTTGCTGTAATATCGGTAAGTTCTTCAAAGGTATTCCAAAACAAACCTTGAGAAATCAAGTCAGTGGTATTGTCCTATTCCTCTTGGTTTAGCTGATTTGATTTCTTAGCAATTTTTGCTGTTAAAGGGGCATAACCAGTCATTTTTGTTTTGTTTTCTAGTAAAATATTAATAATAAAAATGTATGGCCGATATACAGGTCAATCCCTAAATGAAACCATCTATCTCTCTTTATTTTGATGTTCTTTGTTAACCTTCGCAGCTCTTGTGGGTAATCTGTTTTAATGTAATTGCAACTTTGCCAAAGTGAGACTGTAAAACATTCACAAGTAATTGCGAAGAGGTCTCAAGAAACTTATTTTAGGAAAGTATGTGTTGGTGTACCCTTTGCAATGTTGAGTATGTATATGTGTAATTGCGAAGAATGTCAAGAGTACTGGCTACTTTCTGAAAGCTTTTATTTACATTTTTGGTGGACACTTTTTGAGATTGTCTTCCTTCTGTCTACACTCCATATTCTGAATTACAAGTGAAAGCCATGCAGTGAAGTAAACAGGCTGCAATATAGGTGACTACTTTAAGTAAGGTACGTAAGTATGGCTGCAACATTGGTAAATAGGTGGGACCATATAGATTCCCAATATATCTATATTACTGACATTAATCTGCATATAAATACTTATTTAATATTTATAAACAAATTTACAATAACACTCATTGGTTTGAGAAAATAATAAAAATCGTTTCATATCAAACTTACATCTCTTTCTTTTGGACTTGCTGTAACATTTCCAAAAGATTACTTTTAAATTCATTAAAGTTAATATCCAAATTTTGTTTAGCTCTGAGTATTTCATAATCGCCTAAATCAATAGTTTCATTGTAATTAAAAGTATATTCAGAAGGGTCCCGCATTTTAATTTGCTAAAATAAAAAAAATTATATAGAAGAAAAATTAAAAATGATAAATACACCTAGGTCTTACCAGAGATTCTTGACTGTTAATTAAAATCAAGTTAACAATCCTATTTTCAGATAATCCACAGCGATCATGGATCTGTAATGTTAGATTTTTATTGTATATACAAGTCATGGCTCAAAAACAACATAAATATTTTGATAAAAAGAAAATTTAGGAACTATTTGTTTGAATTTTCGGCTTTTTAACTTTTTTGGTTAGGTTAGAGTTCTTCTTTTTTTTTGACATGCAATGAGCTGATCGAGTCCTGCAGACAATCAGCTCCTCCATTTTTTCCGCATATCCAACAATGCCGAGAATAACAACCATAGAGAAGCGACAATAATAGTAAGGATACTATATGGCCGATTTCACCGTTGTGTTAAACGAAGTTTAAATTACTAATAAACGAAGATTAAAATGACATTTTTACATTAACAATGTCATTTTAATCTTCGTTTAACAGAGCGGTGGAATCGGCCCTTAACACCATAGATTAGGAAAGTGTGAATAGATGGGAAACACAATGGTAAAATTTTAAGGCGATTTGCTGCCATCTATCAAATTGGAGTGGTACAATATGGCCGCATGCGGCGGGAAATTTGAAATTTAACTTTCTACTACCTGGGCAAAAATGTAATGAAGAAAATCAAACAAAAAAATAATAAATTGGTTCATTTTGACTAGTTTCAAATCATAAAACAGCCATATTGACTGTTTTATGATTTGAAACTAGTAAAATATTTTCCAATTTATTTATTTTTTCTACTACCGTGCGTAAAGTACATACTTTACGCACTCATGTAATTGTCGCATTCGCCTACGGCTCGTGCGACAACATTCACAATTCTCAAAAAAGAGTAACTTCACACACTTGTTGCATATAATATTATATTATGCAACGGTCATGTATTAATAGCTATTACATGAGAATTACATACACTCTTTCTTCTATGACCAAGAAACTATTTCAATTCATCAACATTGTGGAAAAGAAAACGCAAAGGCAAATACAAGCTGGCACTTTACTAAATTATTTGCAGAGTACGTCGAGCAGTACCAAAACAAATGACGACTCAAAATGTTCTATATCAAAGACAGCATTAAATGACACTGACAAAAGAGAATCGTCTGAGAAAAATGAGGATCAACAAATGAACGATATACCTGAACCTGAGACTAGATAATAAAGAGAGGACTCATAACGCCGCTGAAAATATTGTTCCATTCTGACACCAACGATATTTGACCAAAGGCGTAACATGTTCGAAATAAAAAATCGAACTTGTATTCATGTTATTAGTACTTAATTGATCTTTTTAGGTATAAAGCAAGTTCAAAGCGTAAAATTTAAAATAACTAGGAAACAATAAACAAGACACAAGAAAAAAAAATATATTGAAATAAACTGAATGAAATTGTTTACATAATAAAATGAGTATTTTTTTTTTAAATTCCGCAAAATAAAACATATTGATCTGCATGTATTACAAAAAGATTTATTTTTAGTTAATAGAGAATGACACTACCCAGATAGCACAGACACGTTTTAAAGACATCTTATTAATTAAGATGTCCTAAAGACGCCTTGTTTTGTAACAATATATATACGTCCTATAGACGCCTTTAAAACATCTTTTGGATATTAGCGTAGATCTTCAAAGCATCACAAACGTAATGTTTGTCTACGACATGTTTAGGACATCCAATTATTTGTACGTCTTGACATCCAGTTTTGTACGTCTTTAAGACATCCAGTTTTGTACGTCTTTAAGACAAATCGTATTGGACGTGTTTAAGCCGTCTATTTACTTGAAGGAAATTCATTTAAAAAAATAAATGAATACTTGTCTACTATATTTAATAATGTTTATTATACATTATTAAACTATTAAAACTGACATAGTAAATATTAATTTTTCTACGCCCATGTCAGCAAACGTTAAAAATCGAACTATCAACATTCCTTGTAAATGACATTTAACAATAACATGCACGTAATGAGATCTCATAACATACATGTGCGTTTTGATAAGAAAACTTAAATTTCTTGGTTTAGTCAAATTACAATCTTTACGTACGACTTTATTTGGTCTATTTACATAAATTTATTCATTTAAAAATCATAAAAACTTTTAGCGATAGCTAGATACATTTTGGATTAAAAGAGCGATGCCCCTAAATGTCGGCAACATATTATACAATATTTCTAACAATATGTCGCGTTTTCTTAGCATGCTCTGGACGTCATGCCATTTATATTTGTCAATTTTTGTAACAAAATATGATTGTATCCGAACATTTTCTCAACTGTACCTACGAATATCTTTGTTAGCAGTGAAAGTGATGAAATTATGAGAACTCCACCGGAGATTTTAGACAAAGCCACACATAATTTGTTACCGCTAAAATCCAAAGAAAGGTACGAAATTACCTATCGAAAATTTATGGATTGGCAACACAAGCCTAACGTTAAATCCTTTTTGAGAATGTTTTAAGTGGGCGTAAAAAAAGTATAGTACGTTACACGAGTTGTAAGCCCATTACGCACTCTTGAAATTTACGCACTCGCAGCTGCGCGGCTTCGTGCGTAAACTTTTTCACTTCGTGCGTGATGGGTTACTTACAACTCTTGTTACGTAATATACTATCACAGTGTTGTATAAAATAATTAGAAAATTACTTCAAGTACTAGTTGCTATGAGAAACGATTCTCGGAAATCCTACTTTTTCCAGTTTGGTCGATTTAAAATCTTCTTTTATGGTGTTAATTTTAGCCAAAGCGTCTGTTACTAATGTCCGCGTAGCATATAATTTTGTTGAATTATTGGTTTAAGGTGTTTTTCTAAAAAATAAGACATTAAAAAGTGAAGTTATGAAATTAAAAGGCAAATAAATTAAAACTTACCGTTCTTAATGATAAAGTTTACTAGTTCCTGTATACCTAAGTTCCAATAATGACAAATAAATAATATAAAAAGACAATATATAAAAACACACAACCACGAAAAAGTAATGGCAATATCCACAGACTGACGCTAAACATATTATACAATGGCTGTCCCGAGAAGAAGGCAGCCAGAGGAAGAACACGACTCGATAAGCGCGCGCGAGACTATCCAATCAGCCAATGACAAAGACGAATGACAATCATACATGCGCTGCAGGCAGCGCCAAGAACGGTGTCGTGGCGCCATATTCAAATATAGGGAAAAGAGTTAACATCCACATTACCGATATATTTAAAACGTCCTAAAAACATCCCAACAAAGACGTTTTACGTTTGGACGAAAGTAAGACATGAACTGGAAGTCTTTAAGATGTAGTGTGCTATCTGGGATTGTCAAATTAAACTAGTAAGAAAAATTATACATAAATGAAGATAAATTTATTACTCACCCTTAAATAATACTAATTTGGTATAATAACAAGAAGTTTTAACGAAACAACTCTTTTTATATCTTTGAAGTTTTTGTTTAAGAACTTTGATTTGTCTTGTTTTTCTCTTTATTCTTTTTTACCTGTTGTAAAAGTTGTCTTCTAAACCGTTTTATGCTAGGGCTTTCTAGGATAGGCAGCTTCCAAATGCAATGATCTTCTTTTCAAGTCCTACAAGCAATCAATTATTACGGTAGTGTTTTGAATTATACACAAAAGGGTTGCTAAATTCTTAAAAGTTCATAGCATAATAATGAAAAATAATTAAAAAAATATATATGTTTAATTATGTTTATTAGTATACGCACCTTCTTCGGCTGCATTTATTTAGGGAATTCAGGAAATATCGTGTCCATTTAGTAAACGTCTTTTACAGTCCATCACATAAAAAAAATGTCTTTTAAAATGTTTTGAACACAATCTATCATTTGGCGTAGGCATCCAATTTGCAATTTTCGTTGCCTGAATCCAAACATTTTTTGCTGGATCCACAGGTAATCTAAAATAAAACAACAAATAAACATTGCTGCTAGTGATGCCGCGATGTCTCTCGTCTCGTCTCGAACGAGACGAGAGAGACAAAAGATTCGAGACGAGAGAGTGTTATCTTTTGACGAGAATTTCTCGTTTCTCTCGAACTCTCTCGGGCTCTCTCGAACAATTTTATCTTTGCATATTTGAAATTTTCAATTGCTTATCGTAACTTAAAATTTTAACATATTAGATTTCGAGATAGTCAAAAAAATTAACTATAACACACCTATATTCTATATATATTAAATGGTAACAAATGATACTTGTGTTATTAGGATTTTATAAATAGTGATTTATAAGAAAAAATATTTCTCATTTCATTTATTTAAAATTTATACAATCATTTCTTATATTTAATCCATTCTGCTTTTCTGAGGTCACTTTTGAAGATAAGTTGAAAATTTTTAAGCTTTTTTTCGAAAAACTGTCAAAGAAAAGGTAATACAAACGAATGTATTATATACAGTGAGGACGAAAATTGTATCCTCCTCTATTTTAACTTCTAAATAAAAAAGGATAATGACAAAACAAAAACGAGGTAAAACTCAAGAGATATTATATTTTTGTTATAACGAGATGCACTTTACTTGAGACACGTAAGATATAAGAAGTTACCAGCTTTAAATTTTCTAATGGAAAGTAGGGTCATGTGATACCTCATTTGAAAGATATTTTCTATATTTTTACGTTCATGTAAACTGATTTAGGTTTTTATATTTTTTTAGAAATTAAATTAAATAAATTCATGAAGTAGGTTAAATTATTTTTTTATTTACCGCTTCAACCTCAAAGGATCATTACCGGAGGTATAATACCTTATAAATACTGTTTTTTACAATAGTATACAATAGATAATTAACATTTTGGCTAGTACAGAGTAAATGTCAGTATCTTTTATAAATTTAAGTAATTTTTTACTGTTAGAGGGATTTAACACTACACAAATGGCAATTTTTTTGAAGCAGGTACTTTGTTCTTATACACATGTTCTGGGCCTTTACTAATAAGTTACATTCTTGATAACTCTCGTATTAACAATTATTGTTTCTTACTAAGGAAATGCTTCTTGTATTTACTAAAATAAATAAATCAAGAATATCAAAGGTGATTTAAAAACTACTTTTCATAATTTCTTGCCAAAAAAAAGCTTATTAAAAAATTATCTTCTATCATTATTTAACATTTCTAGGATTATTGCGGCACACGAAGATTATCAAGAATGTAATTTTTGTAAAACCAAAAAAAAATCTGATGTGTCCAACACATGACTTTCCTATCTAGTTATTATAGGCTTTTTCCGGTTATTTTGTACAACCTATTGTAGCACCTCTATAAATGTTTAGAGG